CCGGAAGTGGCGCTGTAGCTCAAGTGGTAGAGCGCTCGCCTTGAGCTGAAGAGCTGAGGGACAGTGCCCAGGCCCAGAGTTCAAGCCCCACGTCCGACAAAAAAAAAAGAAAAAAAAGAAATGAGTGGTGAAAAAGGGAGCCAAAAATCAGAAGATCAGTTGATAATAGGTTTATGAAACAGTTATAAACCCATTCTTTTTCTTAGTGAGCTATAAAACAATCTTTGGCTCACTCGAGCAACACTAGTGGTTTGTGCTTCAGACAGGCTATACAGAGCTTCTTTATTGGAGAACAAACGAGATAAAAAGGAAGGCAGAAGTCGTGCACCAAAGGCAAGAGAATAATTTAATATATATTCTTTCAATGTTGAGGAACAACATTCCCCTCAAGTCCTCTTCCTTCCCACTCAACTTCTGGAATGGTAGTAGCTAAACTTTGGTTCTTGAGGACTTCTGGTTAGTCTACAGCATAGCTGACAATCAGCAAATGCCATCTTTATTTATTTATTTTTATTTTTTGCCAGTCCTGAGGCTTGAACTCAGGACCTGGGCACTGTCCCTTAGCTTCTTTTGCTCAAGATTACCACACATCACTTCCCACTTCATCTATTTATATGGTACTGAGGAATTGAACCTAGGGCTTCATGCATGCTAGGCAAGCACTCTACCACTAAACCATATTCCTAGCCCAAGTCCCATCTTTATAGCAAGAACTTCCAAACAATCTTTTGACTTCCTAGTCTTTTTTTTTTTTTCTTGTCGGTTGTGGGGCCTGAACTCTGGTCCCTCAGCTCTTCAGCTCAAGGCTAGCACTCTACCACTTGAGCCACAGAGCCACTTCCGGCTTTTTCTGCTTATGTGGTGCTGAGGCATCAAACCCAGGGCCTCATGCATGCTAGGCAAGCGCTCTACCACGGAGCCACCTTCCCAGCCCCTTCCTAGTCTTAAATATGAACAGAATATAGATTGGCATCAGAAAAAACAAAAATAAAACAGCCAAGAATAACTAATGAAAACAACTTAAACACTATTTAGGAAGAAGGGTTCTTTTTATTTTTATTTTTTACTTTTTAATTATTTTACTTTTAACCATTCAACTTCTAGTTTATGAGTACAATGCATCTTTTTTTACTATCTTTATGTAATTGTATGAAGGAATTGTCTCTCGGCAAAGCAGTTTATGAATACAATGCATATTGGTCATGCCCCTTCCTTCACTTTTCTTTTTTGTGGGGGGGGGGTGGAAGGAAAGTGGGAAAAAAATGAAAGAGGGGGTAACAAGTTTGACAAGAAATGTACTCACTACCTTATGTATGTAACTGTAATCCCTCTGTACAGCACTATGACAATTTTTTTAAAGGGAACTTTTAAAAAATATACATTCATATATATAGGAAAATATCCAAATATGAGGAAATGTATGTATATATAGTTATATAGATAAGTGAGGAAGTAGTCACCTTGAATTTAAAGTGTCAGTAACCCTAATAACCCTATACTTTCTAAATGCTTTTACAGTTTTAGAAGCATCTAGTTAAGCCAAGCCATTACTATCTAAGCTACAATTTCTCACAGTGTAAAGTTGAAAATAACAGTGATGATATTAACAGTTAATATTTACTGGGCTTTTTTTCTGTACTAGGCATTCTTCTTTGCACTTTATTATATCCTGTTTAAAGATCATTGAACATTAACAGATCTAAAAAACTGTCTCAACAGATGGCAAAAGTTGTAAGATAGGAAATATACATATAGCAGTGGCTCACGCCCATAATCAGTTGTACCTAATGAGAAGGCTGAGATGTGAGGATCATAGTTCAAAACCAGCTTAGGAAGGAAAGTTCATTAGACCAGGCCCTTAGTTTAAGCCCCAGGACTGGGATGTTAGGAGGAGGGAAGAGAGGGAGACTATATATTTTATAATAATAAAACACATTTATCTGTAAAATATACCTAAAATGTGCTTTTTTGCAGTTGTAAGAAGTTCCCTCCTTCCATAACATAAATGTTACAAATTGTCTATATACTTTGGGAAGCTGGGGAGAAACATGAGAGAAAAGGATGGAGTATGCGTATTATACTGTGGTGATGGTAGTAACAAAGCTAAATCATCATTTTCCATAGTGGGAGATCTTTAGCAACTTTATTGAGACCAATTTCTGTCAATACTAGGCAAAAGGAGAGTTCACGGCATGGAAATGAGGAAGTAAAAGAAATAAAAACAGCTAGTATAGTCAGGCGCTATAATCCTAGCTAATAGAAGGCTGAAACCTAGAAATTCACAGTTCAAGGCAGAAAAGTCTCCATCTCTAAAATAAACAGCAAAAAAGCTAAGCTGGATATGTGGCTAAAAGTGTTATCATGCCGGCCAAGCAAGCAAGCTGTTTGAGCATGCAGCCATCAGTTCAAACCCTAGTTCTAGCAAAAAGAAAAAAAAAGAAGAAGAAAATAGCTTGATATAAATACTTTCTTTAAGAAGATTGAACATAAAGGGTAGGTTACAATGAGTATTAGCTTAAGGAAGAGATAAAGCTGATAAGCAAAACTGGGTTTTTGGTTTTTGCCAATCCTGGGCTTTGAACTTAGGGTCTAGGCATTGTCCCTGAGCTTCTTTTTGCTCAAGGCTAGTGTTCTACCACTTAAGCCATAGTACCACTTCTGGCTTTTTCTGTTTATGTGGTACTGAGGAATTGAACCTGGGGTTTCATGCATGCTAGACTCACATTCCCAGCCAACAAAACAGTTTTTTGTGGGTTTGGTTTTTTTTGTTTTGTTTTGTTCTTGTCAGTCCTGGAACTTGAACTCTGGGCCTGTGTGCTGTCCCTCTGCTCTTCAGCTCAAGGCTAGCACTCTACCACTTGAGCCACAGCACCACTTCTGGTTTTCTAGTGGTTAATTGGAGATAAGAGTCTCACGGACTTTCCTGCCACAGCTGGCTTTGAACGGCCATCCTCAAATCTCAGCCTCCTGAGCAGCTAGGATTATAGCCGTGAGCCACCAGCACCTGGCAATAAAAATGTTTTAAGGGTAAGACTTTTAGAACTAAAAGATGAATATACAGGTGAAGGAAAGAAAGTAGGATAATGGCTGACAGAGTAAGGCTCCCAAGGGGACTGAGTTCTTAAGTGGGGCTGATAGTTCCAGAGAAGGTGGTAGCCATACAGAAGAGGAAGGATAGGTGTTTCTCTAGTAAAGGAAGTAGGAATACTATGGTAGAACTGGAGAGTCCACACACTCAGACAGTTCATGTTGGGCAGGTTCCTTCTGTTGTATGTTGTCAGATGCTGGGATGAATATGGAAAGAGTTGGTATTGTTTTACAGTTGCAATTGTGACAAGTACAAAGTAATTACCAGAATAAAATTGCCATTAAGCATTTGAGGGTCTACCAAAAAAAAAAATATATATATATATATTCCCAAATATTATGTACATGTGCCAGTAAATAATCAGACTTACTCTCTTCCTAATGTAGCACAACTAAAGAACGGCAAGAAATGCAGAATCCAAATGTTACTGCACCTGATAAAGGATTTCTGTCTAAACCTCATCTTGACAGACACCTGGAAAAATCTTCAAGCAATTTACCAGATTCAGGACAGTTGGTTCATAAAATTCCCAATACAAGAAATGAAACTATGAGACAATCAGTTACTATAGGCAAATTGGCCAAAGTCTTTGTCCCACCTTTCAAAGTGAAATCACATCTTCACAAAGATGAACATCATGTTAGCAAGCAAACTAATTTTGAAGAAGAAAAACAAAAACAAAGAAAAATAGAGGAATGTGGTTCCAGTGATTGCAAAAACATTAACAGTGAGATTCATCAGTTTAGCAAAGACAGCTCCTGTCAAGAAGCAACTATGATTTTCACAAAGTGTAAAGAACCTTTAGGTATTGCATAATAATTTGTGTGACAGTTTTATCATTTGGTTAGATATTTCTCTTACTAAATAATATCCCAAGTTTTTTTTAAATTTCTTTTTACAGTGCTGACACCTTACACTTGAGTTAAGCTAGCATATACTTCAGCCCACAGAACCTTTTCTTATGTTTCAGGTTTTCTAAATTCAAGGATTAGGTTCAAATTAGTCTTAATATTATCTTTTCAAATATAACTACTTGTAGAATTTCTTCTTCCTTTCTCTCTCTCTCTCTCTCTCTTTTCTTTCTTTCTTTTTTTTTTTTTTTTTTTTTTGGGTCCAGTCGTGGGCCTGAACTCTGGGCCTGGGCACTGTCCCTCAGCTCTTCAGCTCAAGGCTAGCGCTCTACCACTTGAGCCACAGCACCACTTCCGGGTTTTTTCTTTTTGCTTATGTGGTGCTGAGGAATCGAACCCAGGCCTCCTGCATGCAAGGCAAGCACTCTACCACTGAGCCACCTTCCCAGCCCTCTTTCTTTCTTTTTTTTGCTGCCAGTCCTAGACTATACCACAGTGCAACTTCTGGCATTTGGTACTAAGGAATTAAACCCAGGTCTTCATGCATGATAGCAAACACTCTACTACTAAGCCACCTTCCTAACCCCTAGAATTTCTTTAAAAGTTGGGAAGGGTGGCTGGGAAAGTGGCTGTGTTAGAGTGATTGCCTAGCATGCATGAGGCCCTGGGTTTGATTCCTCTGCACCATATAAACAGAAAAAGCCAGAAGTGGTGTTATGGCTCAAGTGGTAGAACGCCAGCCTTGAGATGGAGAGCTGAGAGACAGTGCCCAGGCCCAGAGTTCAAGCCCTGTGACTGAGAAAAATAAATAAACAATGCTAGAGTCAGCTACATAATGGGACTCTGTCTCAAAAACTAAACAAATTTAGAAAGCTATGTGACATACATCCCAGGACTGCTATTATTAGAGTATACTTTTTTTTAATGGTACTACTAATTTTCTTCCAAAATGGGGATACAAATAATACATTTATGCTAGGCACCAGTGGCTCACACCTGTAATCCTAGCTACTAAGGAGGCTGAGATCTGAGGATCGTGGTTCAGAGCCAGCCTGGTCAGGAAAGGCCATGAGACTAATCTCCAATTAACCACCAGAAAACCAGAAGTGGCATTGGGCTCAAGTGGTAAGCACTAGCCTTGAGCTGAAATGCTGAGGGACAGCCCCAGGCCCAGAGTTCTAGTCCCATGACTGACAAAACACAGCAAAAAATAATTCTTTATATAGTTGAAATTATTTCATCTCTAAAAACTTAAAAAGGATAGTGACTTCCTTTTTCTCTGCATATAAACAGACCAAGTTGAAATACATAATTTTATAAAGTAGGCTGTGCTTTTAAAATTGACATTCTTTTTGTGTTTTTATTTTTTGCAAATTATTGTTTAACAGATTTAATTACAAGCCTTCAGAATGCCAGAGATAATCAGTCTGCACGAATTATGAACAAAGAAAGGCAACGTATCTTTCCACAACCAGGCAGTCTGTATCTTGCAAAAACATCCACCCTGCCTCGAATCTCTCTGAAAGAAGCTGTAGGAAACCAAATTCCCTCTGCATATTCTCATAAGCAGGTACCCATTTGTCTGCAATGCTAGTAGCTTTTGTAGCAAAAGGAAACTTTTTGTTATTAATTGGGATCTCCAAATTGTGTTTAAAGAATGAACAACTTGCCAGTGTGAATGAATAAAATCAGCCTGCAGTAGCAGGTTCCCTTTCCTTTGCCTTACCTTGCAAATGTAATCTCTTTTGTTTTTCCCTCTCATACTGTAAGGGCTTTCAACTAGGCAGAAGAGAATAGTCATCTCAAAGTAAAGGACAAATGATTGATATCCCAAGCTTTCTATTGTTTTAAAAAAATGACTCTGGAGGTTTTTTGGGGGCTGGGAAGGTGGCTCAGTGGTAGAGCGCTTGCCTTGCATGCTCGAGGCCCTGGGTTCGATTCCTCAGCACCACATAAGCAAAAAGAAAAAAGCTGGAAGTGGTGCTGTGGCTCAAGTGGTAGAGCGCTAGCCTTGAGCTGAAGAGCTGGGGGACAGTGCCCAGGCCCAGAGTTCAAGCCCCACGACCGGACCAAAAAAAAAAAAAAATGACTCTGGGCTGGGAAGGTGGCTTAATGGTAGAGTGCTTACCTAACATGTATGAAGTCCTGGGTTCCATTCCTCAGTCCCACATAGAAAAAGCTAGAAGTGGCACTGTGGCTCAAGTGGTAGAGTGCTAGCCTTGAGCAAAAGAAGCTCAGGGACAGTGCCCAGGCTCTTGAGTTCAAGCCCCAGGACTGGCAAAAAAAAAAAAAAAAAATCTTTTTTAAATGACTCTGGTTAAGCCACTACTACATAGGAAGAATTTTTCTCAATGGAAAGTTGGAAAACATAGTAACTTTAACAACTAAAATTTATTAAGGCTTTTCTGCATGCTACACACTCTTAACCCTTTACATGCATCAGTCATATCTTGCTTAATCCTCATAACTCCCCAAAAGAAAAGACAACATGATTTTGTACATTATTTAATTTAGTCACCAATTAGAACCAGGAGGGCCATAATTCCAAAGCAAGGATCTGCCTCCAGAGTTAAGCACTGCACAAAGAAAAGGATACGTTGGGTTCAACATGAGGATTGACTAGGCCCATGTAAAAACACACAAGCTTTTCCCTTGTTTCTCCTTTCTATTTTGAACTTAGTAGTCTTCATTGTGTAAGTGTGCATTCTCACATGAACACATGCCACCCTGTACTGGGTCTTGAACTCAGGGCCTCCTGCTCTTTTTCATTCAAGGCTGGTGCTCTACTAGATAATCCACATTGCCTGTTTTTTTGCTGGTTAATTGGAAATTAACCAGGATTGTCTGCCCAGTCTAGCTTCAAATGGATTTTTTTCTTTTTAAACCCAGTATCTCCCTTTTGCAGATTTAGCAAGAAGGAATAAAGAGTGCAATACATTCGAAATTATTTAGCTTTTTTTTTTTTTCATTGTGATGCTTGAAATCTGGGCCTAGCTGCTCTCCCTGAGCTTTTCGGCTCAAAGCTAGTGCTCTAATACTTTGAGCCACAGCACCACTTCTGGTTTTCTGGTGGTTAATTAGAGATAACAGACTCATGGACTTTTCTGTCTGGACTGGCTTTGAACCGAGATCCTCAGATCTCAGCTTCTGATAGCTAGGATTACAGACATGAGCCTCCGGCACCCAGCTCTTTAGCTTTTATTATACAAATTTTTTCTTGAGTATGTGTGTGCATATGTGTGTTTCACATACCAGATCCAGGGCTTTGCTCAGGCTAAGCACATAATCTGCCACTGAATTATATCCCTATAGTAGTAAATATTTTTTAATATTAAGGTGTTGTATTTTGTAAGTCAGGTAATGCGTACACTTAATTTTTTGGACAGTGTCACCCCTTCCTTCACCTTACCCCAAGTTTCATCTCTTATCCCTGCCCACCTAAATATTTTTATTGTTAACAATTTAGTATTTAAATGCAAAGTTTTAAAAGGTTACTTTCAGCTTAATTGTTTTTATTCTACAACTTTATGTATTTGACTCATTAAATTTTGTATTTCTTCAGCTTTATATGTATGGCGTTTCGAAGCATTGTATAAAAATAAACAGCAAAAATGCTGAGTCTTTTCAGTTTCACACTGAGGATTATTTTAGTAAGGAAGATTTACATTCTGGAAAAGGAATTCAGTTGGCTGATGGGGGATGGCTCATACCGTCTGAGGATGGAAAGGCTGGAAAAGAAGAATTTTATAGGTACTGTATGTAAAAGGAGGTTTTATGTTAACTTTTACATTTTCTGTCCTCCCTGTCTTCACAATTGCCTTTTGTTTCTTTTTCATTATGGCTCCTGAATTAAAAAGTTGGTTAAAATTTGTGTGTGCGCCCCCCTGGGCACTGTCCCTGAGCTATTTTGCTCAAGGTTAGCATTCTACCACATGAGCCACAGCTCCACTTCAAGCTTACTGCCTGGGCTGGCTTCAAAGCATAAGTCTCAGATCTCAGCCTCCCAAGTAGCTAGGACTACAGGCAAGAAATCTTAATTTTTTAGCATAATTATGAAATTTTATGCTTCATATTATTTTAGACAATGATTATGAATGTGTTTTTATTGTTCCTATGCACTTACAAAAAAAAACTGATGGGGAAAGTTAAATTTAAATTGGCCTATGGTAGACCCAAGAATATGTCTTACTCATTTATATTGTAGATTTAGTAAATGTAAAATATAACTATGCCAGGCACCAGTGGCTCACACCTGTCATAATCCTAGCTGTTGAGTAGGAGAGTTAAGGTCTGATGACTGCAGTTCAAAGCCAGCCTAGGCAGGAAATTCTCTGAGGCTCTTATCTCCAATTATCTACCAGAAAGCCAGAAATAAAGGTGTGATTCAATGGGTAGAGCACCAGCCTTAGGCAAAAAAGATCAGGGATAGCACTTAGGCTCTGAGTTCAGGCCCTAAGACCAGCACATACTGATATTTTAATAAATAAAAATAAAACGAAAATTTGGGCTGGGAAGGTAGCTCAGTAGAGTGCATGCCTTGCAAGCATGAGGCCCTGGGTTCAATTCCTCAGCACCACATAAACAGAAAAAGCCGGAAGTGGCGCTGTGGCTCCAGTGGTAGAGCACTAGCCTTGAGCTGAAGAGCTGAGGGACAGTGCCCAGACCCAGAGTTCAGGCTCCATGACCAGCAAAAAAAAAAAAAAAACCCTAAAATTTAACAAATTAAATATTAGTTATAAAAATAACTAGAAAATCTCAGTACTCCAAAACATTAACAGGATGGAAAGTATATTACCACATTTGATTCTATTACAGTATAGAAAGTATATTACCACATTTGATTCTATTGTTTACACAAACACAATTTTTCTCTCTGTCAGGATATATTACCACATATTAATGTCAATCCTTTCTCCAGTACCTTTCCTCTTGAAAATCTCTTTCCAAATTTAATGTCTTTCCAAAATTAATAGTTTTGGGACCATAGTAAAACTTTTCCTGAATTTTCAAGAAACTTTTTGGAGTGTTTTTGTTGTTTTATTATTTTTTTATTTTGTTACTTTATTTTGGTGTTGGTCCTGGGGCTTGAACTTGGAGCCTGAAAGCTATCCCTGAGCTTAAAGCGCACTATCATTTGAGCCACAGTTCCACTTCCAACTTTTCTGGTAGTTTATTGTACATAATAGTTTCATGGACTTTCCTGCCCAAGCTGGCTTCAAACTGTAATCCTTAGATCTCAACCTCCTAAGTAGCTGGGAGTATAAGCATGAGCCATTGGCACCTAGCTATTGTCTTTTGATCATTCAACAAATATTTGTTGAGCACCTTCTATGTACAGGTACTATTCTGAGAACTAGGATAGATAATAAAGCAAAGCAAAAAGATCTCTGTCCTATTGAGTCTTATATTTTAGAGGCGATAGAAGACAGAAAGATTTTTAAATAAATAAATTGCATGTTAAAAGTTAGAAAAGTGGTAGAGTAAGGGAAATTACTATTCGTGCATCATCCCAAAAGCATCCCTGAGTCAGTGACGTTTTGTAAATGGCCTGGAGGTGTTAATGAAAGTTATGACAGGACAGTCAGGGAACACATAGGAGGCTTTGGTGGAGGAAGCATACTTGAAGTAATCAAAAAAAAGAAGGAAATTAGTATAGTTGGAGTGCAGTGGGAAGAAGACAGGAGAACTAGGTGATATGGGAGTGTAGCTCAGTGCTACAGTGCTTGCCAATATGCATGTGGCCCTGGGTTTGATCCTTGGCAACGCCAAAAAAAAGGAGGGAAGTTTAAAGCAGAAAGAAACATGAATGGTTGGAAGAGGAGAGGCAGAAAGATGGGACCTCAGAGATATTCCTGAGAAACTTGACATTTATTCCTTAAGTAGTTATTATTTATTTATTTAGTCGGTCATAGGGCCTGAACTCTGGGCCTGGGTGCTGTCCCTCAGCTCTTCAGCTCAAGGCTAGCGCTCTACCACTTGAGCCACAGCACCACCTCCAGCTTTTTTTGCTTATGTGGTGCTGAGGAATGGAACCCAGGGCCTCATGTATATGAGGCAAGCTCTCTTACCACTGAGCCACCTTCCCGGCCCAAGTAGCAATTTTTTTTATTCTGAGTAAACCATTAGAAAGTTTAAGAATGTGATGTGGTCAGACTTATTTTCAAAAACAACTGTGACTGCCTTGGACCTTGGCCTGTAGAAATAGGAACAAGGGTAGAAACTGAGAGTCTAGGAAGCTGTTATAATCAAAATGTGAGATGGTTGATGGGACTTGGCTTGGCAGTTGGTAAAATGCAGTTTGATTCTGAGTGTTTTTGGAAGGTGGCACCATCAAAATTTGTTTAAGAATTGTATCTAGAGTATGAGAAGAGGATAACAGTGCCCCCAAAGATTACTTTTTCAAAATGGCTGAAAGAACAGAGTTGCCATGTAACTACCAGACTGAGAAGAGCAAAAGATGGAAGGGAAATTGAGAGCTCATCTTTGAATATTTGAAACTTGAGATGTGATAGTAGACATGTAGGTAAACAGTTTTGGAGTATGAGAGAAGTTCAAGAGTTGTCAGCATATAGATGGAACTTAAAGCCATGAAAAAGAGAATGATACCAGACATGGTGGCACATGCCTGAAATCCAGTGTTTGGGAAACTTAGGCAGGATTTGAGTTTGAGGCCAGCCTGGACTACATACCAAGCATCTGTCTTAAAATTTAAAAGGAAAGAGAGAGGGAGAGACTGACAGACTGAGAATGACCAAAAAAGTTAGAAATAAATGCAAAAAAGCATAGTGTATTTATTGCATGCACATGATCAAATTTCAGGAATAGAAAATACCTGGCTATGACAGTTGCTGTTGGAGAAAATTGATAAGGTGAAGAATGAGAACTGACCCACTGCCTTTACCACTGTAGAGGTTATTCAAGTTTTAGTAAAAAATAATTCATTAGATTGGTAGAGTGAAAGTCTGATTAGAGTACAGTTAAATGGCAATTGAAGAAGAGGAGTTAGAAACAATGAATACAGTTGCCTTTTCAGGAATTGCCAAGCAGAAAGGTAGAGAAAGGGAAAGTATTTAGAAGCCAAAGTAGGAACAAAAGGTGGTATTTCTGACTTGTTTGTATGCTTTACAAAAAAAAGAAAAAGAAAATGTGCTGGTAAATTTTGCCAGATACAGAAAGAAAAATTGGTGATGTGATGTATGAGCTAGTTATATATCTTATGTATCTTTCTATTTCTGTAACAAAACCCAGAGATAATCAATTTAGAGAAAATGTTTCCCATTTTAAAGGTTTCAGTTTATGATTGATTGGTGGGCTCTTAGTTTTTGAGTCTGAGACAAGGCACCACATAATGATGGGAGTGATGGAGGAAAACCCCTTACCTCCTGGCCAGAATGCAAAAGAAACAGGGTCCCATTATCCCCTTCAAGGATAGACCAGTATACCTTGCCTCTTCATAATATCAGGGTTAAGTTTCAACATGAAGTTTGGAGAAGTTATTTAAACTGACAAAGAAATGATACTCAGAGGAGGTGTATTAAAAGGCATTAGTTTACTTGTGTATTTTAATGTAGCAAAGAAAACTCCCTTTTAATGTTGATGGATACTGTCCAGTAAAGAGGGAAATATTAATGATACATTTGCAGAGGCATGTTCTAAGTATATGATCTTGATTACATAACAGTATGGGAGCTAGTACACAAATAAGGGAGGTGCCAAATGTAAAGATATAGGTACTATAGGTGTAGAGGAGGAACGGAATTCAGGTTCTCTTTTGATTATTCCTGTTAATACTAAGCATAAAAACAAGAAATGTGGCAGAATTAGAAATTTAAGAAGAGAGGGAATGGTATCAAAGAAAACACCAGAAATATAGCAGATCATTCTTTTTTTTATTATTGTTACAATACATATTTGTATTGTACATTTTTATTATTGTTATAATACAATTACATGAGCAAGACAATGCGTACTTTTTTTTTTTTTGGTTGTGGGGCTTGAACTCTGGGCTTGGATGCTGTCCCTCAGTTCTTCAGCTCAAGGCGAGCGCTCTACCACCTGAGCTACAGTGCCACTTCCGGTTTTCTGGTGGTTTATTGGAGATAATAATTTCACGGACTTTCCTGCCCGGGCTGGCTTTGAACCTCGATCCTCAGATCTCAGCCTCCTGAGTAGCTAGGATTACAGGCGTGAGCCACCAGCACCCGGCATGAGTACATTTCTTATCAAGCATTGTTACCTCCTCCTTTGTTTCCCCTTCCCATCTCCCCCCCACCCCACCCACACACACACACACACATAGCAGTTCATTCTTGTATAATTTCTTTTTTTTTCTGTCAGTCATGGGGCCTGAACTCTGTGCCTGAGCGTTGTCCTTCAGCTCTTCAACTCAAGGCTAGCACTCTACCACTGGAGCCACAGCACCACTTTAGGCTTTTTCTGCTTATGTGGTGCTGAGGAATGGAACCCAGGGCCTTATGCATACAAGGCAAGCTCTCTACCACTGAGCCACCTTCCCAGCCCCTCTTGTGTAATTTCTAAAAACTATTCTTTAATAAGAAAATAAAGCTGGGTTCTGGTGGCTGTAATCCTAGCTACTCAATAGGCTGAGATATGGAAGATGGTGATTCTAGGAAATCCTGGGCAGAAAAGTACACTAGATGCCATTTCCAAAATAACCAGAAAATTGAAAAAACAAAAAACACTGCTGAAGATGTAGCTCAAGTAGTAGAGCCAAGCTAAGCAAGGGCAAGGCTGTGAATTCAAATCCCAGTATTGCTGAAAAGTAAGAAAATAATCTAAAATAAAATTATTGACTCATTTTCCAGAAACACCTCTATGAGTTGAAATTATTATTTTGGCTTTTCTTAAATGGAGTTTTCATTCATATGCTACATCATTAAATAATTTAATACTTTATTTGTATGCTCTATGTTATGTTTCAAAACTACATTTATAAATATATGGTGGATTATATGTTCACTCATACAAACTTACTGAATGATATTGCACAGTCGAGTTTTTTATACAGGTAATAATCGTTGTTGAATCCAGTTTCATACTATGTGGTTTTTATTATTCTTTTTATTTGTTCAGGGCTCTGTGTGACACCCCTGGTGTGGATCCAAAACTTATTTCTAGAGCTTGGGCCTATAATCATTACAGATGGCTTATATGGAAGCTGGCAGCTATGGAATTTTCTTTTCCTAAGGAATTTGCTAATAGATGCCTAAACCCAGAAAGGGTGCTTCTTCAACTAAAGTACAGGTAAGTTGAAAGCATCACTTTCAGTAATTATATATTGCTGTATGATTCAGGCTCTTGTGTAGCCTGCAACTTTGTGTGAAAGATGATGTAAAAAGCCAGATGCTGGTGACTCAGCCCTATAATCCTATCTACTTAGGAGGCGCTGAGGCCTGAGAGTCAAAGGTTAACATCCGCCAGACAAACCTGCAAGGCTTTTTGGTTTTTTTTTTTTTGTTTTTTTTATTGTGAGAATACGGTACAGAGGCGTTACAATTACATGGGCAAGATAACGAGTACATTTCTTATCAAGCATTGTTGCCTCCTCTTTGTTTCCCCTTCCCATCCCTTCCCATACTCCCCTCTCCCCCTGCAAAGTTTTTATCTGCAATTACCAGCAAAAAGCCAAAAGTAGAGGTGTGGTTCATCAGCCTTGAATGAAAAAATGTAGCAAGAGCTCAAGGCCCTGAGTTCAAGCACCAGTACTGAAACCAAAAAAAAAAAAAAAGATGTAGAAGCCAGTGGTCAATTACAGCTCCCATGGCACACTGTTAATTCATGTACTCTCATTACCTCTCAGATGCCCCCTTATTTCCCCTTCCCTCCCTGCCCCCTTTAAAAACTTCTTGGTTGTTTTTTTTTTCCCCAGGGCTGAGGACCGAACCCAGGGCCTTGTGCGCGCCGGGTGGGCGCCCTTCCTCTGGGCTAAACCCCCAGCCCCTAAAAACTTCTTGGAATATGAGAAGAATATGAATTGCTAATTTGAGCCATTATTTGGGAGTCCCAAATAAAGTATTTTTACCCTTAGTATGCATATTTTAACAACATAAATCTTAATACATATCATTTCTAGATAAAAGTGTTTAAATCATCCCAGCATTTCTTTGACAAATTAATTTTTATTCCCAATATTTCAGTGACTTTGTTCGCAATGAAGTTCTGTATGCACAGTTTCTAAAGTAGGCATTTGGTTTTTACTTTTAGATATGACATGGAAATTGATAGAAGCAAAAGGTCAGCCATAAAAAAGATCATGGAAAGGGATGATACGCCTGCAAAGACACTGGTTCTCTGTGTTTCTGACATCATTTCAAGTACATCTGAAACTTGTAGCAACAAAACTGATGGTGCAGATATCAAAAATGTGGCCATGCTCGAACTTACAGATGGATGGTATGCTGTCAAGGCCCAGTTAGACCCTCCGCTCCTAGCTCTCTTAAAGAATGGGAGATTGGCTGTGGGACAAAAGATCATTACTCATGGAGCAGAGCTGATAGGCTCCCCTGATGCCTGTGCACCTCTGGAAGCCCCAGACTCTCTTATGTTAAAGGTGAGTTCGGTTAATGTGCACTCTTCTAAGAAGTATTCACTGAGTCAATTAAATTCTAGAGAAGTTTTATACTTAAGGTACCATATTTACTTACATCATTAAGGATGCTGCATTTCTTCAAAGTATACTGGTAATCTTAATATAAGCGGCAGACAGTTTGAGTTGTTTGAGGGAGAACCAGAGTTATTTCTTGAGCTAAATGTAATTTGAATTAGAAAGCAAAAGTAATTGTGCACCAGAATTGAATTTTGGTACCTAGATCCCTTATTGCCCTTTATTCTCCTAGTTTTGCTTCTCCCCTTTTTCTTGACTCAGCTCCTATTCCAGTTATACCATAGAGAATTAGATTTAAGTACTTTCAAATATGTGGTAATAAATGAACTTTCATCACTATGTAGATTTGAAAACATATTCGCAGGGCATTGTCGTGTTGAATGATGTGCAGTGTTGCTGTTGGAAGTTATTTATGAGGTAACACTGTTGATGATTTACTTCTCTTGTATTTTCAATCCCTCTAATTAAGGAAGTCATTTTGTTAATTAAGCATACTTAAGGTAAAATACTTATTTTGCTTTAACTCCATGTTGGGCCATTCCCCCCTCAGTCCCTTTCTGAGGATTGCTACCACGGCCTGGTATATGCAAGGCAGGTGAACACTGAGCTGTATACCCAGCCTCTGATACATGTTTTAAAAATATAAAATATAGGGGCTGGAAATGTGGCTCAGTGGTAGAACACTTGCCTTGCATGCATGAGACCCTGGGTTCGATTCCTCAGCATCACATAAGCAAAAAAATACATAAAATATATTAGGATTTATTTATATATATGTATAAATATAATCACATACACAGAACTACATAAAGGATTATAAATAAGACACAAAAGCCTGATGTATAGCATTCCTAGTTTTGGCTAACACCTGAAACATACACTGACTACATGAAAAGAATACAGGCTTAGGCTTTGGTTCATTTCATTGCATTGCCATTTATTACCATAATTTTCAGGCAGCTTATTTAGCTTGTCATCCTTTTACAGAAAAGGCAGATAAAAATGCCTCCTTGCAAGGTAGTTGAATGTTTTAGAAAGAGTAACATATAAATTAGATTACACAAAACAAAAGCTCAATACGCAATAGCCAGGCCTTGATGACTCATACCTGTAATTCTAGCTACTTAGGAAGCTAAGATCTGAGGATCTCAGTTATAAGCAAGGCCAGATAGGAAAAATCCATGAGGCTTTTTTTCTTTTAGATTTTTTTTTTATTGTCAAGGTGATGTACAGAGAGGTTACAGTTATATAAGTAAGCTAATAAGTACATTTCTTGTTAAACTTGTTACCCCTTCCTTTGTTTTTCTACTTTCCCTCCTCCCCCCCACCACCATCCCTCCATGAGACTCAACTCCAATTACCCATAAAACAGACATCCAGAAGGGGCTGGGAAGATGGCTTAGTGGTAGAGCGCTTGCCTTGCATGCATGAGGCCCTGGGTTCAATTCCTCAGCACCACATAAGCAAAAAGAAAAAAGCCGGAAGTGGTATTGTGGCTCAAGTGGTAGAGCGCTAGCCTTGAGCTGAAGAGCTGAGGGACAGTGCCCAGGCCCAGAGTTCAGGCCCCACGACCGGACCC